AAAAAAAAACAGTTAACAAAAATTAACTTTGATGAACTAATGAATCATGGTAATAAAAAGCCATGAATTTTATGTGCAGTATTCCCCTAGCGCTGGAGTTCTCCCGTTCTCCTTGATCGGTAAACTTGGTCTTGGCTTGCTGGCTGTTCGTGCTGATCTTCTGGGGGAGGGGCCTGTTGCCATGGTTCCCAAATGTCTTTGCCGGAGGCGGAAGTGCCCCGCCCTTGTCAGTCCGGGCTAAGCAAGCTGCTCCGGTTTGCTCTCAGGAGCTTTTGTTCCCTGCAAGCTCTCCGTACAGCTTTGGAGGACCAGGGTGAAAATGGTGGCCTCCCAATCTCCACCCGGAGGAGCTGAGAACTCGGGGCCCCGCTCCTCAGTGCGCCCCCCAGAGAAAAGCAGGCACTCCCTTGTCCCCGGTCTCCGGCCGCACTCCGTGCTCACCCGGCCTGTGACCGAGCGTTTCTATCTCTGGCACCCGACCCCGTGTGGAGTCTCCAAACCCAGCAGATCCCTGCGGTGCGCTCAGGCGCCGCTCCTCCTGGGGGAGGAAGGGGAGTCTCCCCGGATCTGCCGCTTGTTGGGTCCCTGCTGCAGGAGCAGTGGCCCGACTGGGCCGCGGATCAGTTTATGGCCACCCCGAGCTAAGAGCCCGCGCCTCGGCTCCGTCTCTGCAGCCGGCTTCCCCGCTCCGATCCCTGGGAGCTCTGCCGCACTCAGGCACCCCTGGTCTTTCTGTGACCCCGAGGGTCCTGAGACCACACTGTCCCGCGAGGGTTCCACCCCCCGCTTAGCCACTGGAGCGACGTCCCTCCGCGGAGCCGACTTCTAAAAGGTCCGATTTTGTGCTCCGCGGCTCTAGCACTTGCCAGAAGCGGCCCACGGAGGCCCCTCCCCCGCCGTCTATCCTCCCGAATATCGCCTCGGACTCACTTCTCCGCACGTCCTACCTTCCAGAAAGTGGTCGCTTCTCCGTTCAGATAGTTATTGCTACTCTCCTGTTCGATCTCCTGTTGAGTTCGTAGGTGTTCAGAATGGTTTGATCCCTATTCAGCTGAATTCCTGAGACCAGATGAAATCCAGGTCTCCTACTCCTCTGCCATCTTGCTCCGCTCCTGCACACGGAGTTTTATAAGACACAGGCACCGATGTCCGTGAGAAGCAGCCTAAGTCACGTGGGCATCAAGGAGAAAGAAAAGTCAGGGTGTGTGTTGCTTAGACTCTTCTACCACGTTTACTGTAGAGGGAGGGGGAAGAGGGAGTCCAGGATCCCTCTCCTCTCCCAGCTCAGGGCACTTGGCCCCAGAGGAGAGCTCAGCTTTGCACCTTCCTTCACATCGGGAGTTGGCATTTTTCCGTGGGGGGGGGGTCAGATCCCCGGGCCCCCGCCCCCGTCCAAATTCTTGTTGCTCCCCATAAGCCCAGGGCTTCTCTGCTGCAGGTGGATGGGCTGAAAGCCAAGCTGGCCGCCCAGGAAGGGGAGCTGAGGCAGAAGAACGACGACGCGGACAAGCTGATTCAGGTGGTCGGCATAGAGACGGACAAGGTGAGCAGAGAGAAGGCCGTGGCGGACGAGGAGGAGCGGAGGGTGGCCCTCATCATGCTCGAGGTGAAGCAGAAGCAGAAGGACTGTGAGGAGGACCTGGCCAAGGCGGAGCCGGCGCTCATGGCAGCCCAGGCGGCTCTCAACACCCTCAATAAGGTAGGAGGATGGTCTGTCCCATCTGCTCACCCCTCCCCGCCCAGGGGTGGGGGAGGGGAGCGGCTCCCGTGACCCAGACAGCGCGCCACCCTGGCGTCCCAAAGAGATCCAAGGGCAAAGTTGGAGGGTTTAGGGATCCAGCTGTCACTGGCTTATTCATTCAGCAAACACTCGTTTATTTTATTTTTTTTTAAGAATTTTTCTGTATTTATTTATTTGAGAGACAGAGAACAAGCATGAACAGGGGGGAGGGGCAGAGGGAGAAGCAGGCTCCCCGCTGAGCAGGGAGCCCTGATTCGGGGCTCGATCCCAGGACCCTGGGATCATGACCTGAGCGGAAGGCGGACGCTTCACTGACTAAGCCACCCAGGCGCCCCCAAACATTCACTGAAACTGAGGGCATATCAGACTCCTGCAAACTACCGAGGAAATCCCAGTGATGTGAGTCTTAGAACCAACCAGAACAGGAGATGCTGACTAGTCCGGACCCTCCACTCCACAGATAACAAAGCAAGGACCCTGAGAGGAGAACTGACTTGCCCAGAGCCGTATTAGAGCCAGACTTCAACTCACACCCTCAGAATCCAAGTCCAGAGACCTCCCAGCTATGTACCCCATGGTCACTTCACCCGTTACAAGTGACAGGACACATGAGCCTTATAAAGCCCTGAGAAAATACTTAAGATAGGAGACGAAAACCCATGTTGGCTCCAAAATATGAAAAAAAAAAAAAAACTAGGTAATCAAAATTAGCAAATATTCAAACGTCAACAACACGTAGCTGTGTGTCCATTAAATTCAGCTCCTATACGTAACCATTTGGTAGACGAAGCATGACTTCTGAGATGTATTCACAAGGTACTTTTATTTAGGTTCCCTGGAGATGTACTCCATGTATGTGTGTCCTGGGGTTGAGGGGGGGTGGTTAGCTACTTCTTCCCTCTCTTTTTCACCATTAAACTGCTTTCCCATGTGGATAACCGTGGCTGAGAGGCAAGGGCAGAGGGGAAGAGAATGGGGCAGACAGACTCTGGTCATGAGCAGCAGATGTCAGAGCGGGACTGAAAAGCTGACCCTTTCTCTGTTGGGATGCTCACATGGAGACCCTTCCCCCGGTCATCAGGGTGCTTTCTCTTCCCTTCACTTGGACCCCTTGGCCAAGGCCTAAGACAGCCCGTGCTGGCTTTGCTGACACGTCCTCTCTTGAAGGCAGAGCAGGGGGTACTCACCAGCAGGTCTCACGAAAAATTCTCTCTTCCTCTGCTTTGACACCCTCAGGGCAGGTGAGGCGTTTGAGAGGCAGACACGCCGGCCTTCTGAAACCTCCATCTCCTGCCTCACTTCGGCATCTGGCAGTTTCAGGCCTGGGCAAATCTAAAATGGAATTAGGAACTCTGTAGAATCCTGTGACATTTAGTCCCATGTAAATTGTAATTTGAGAGATGAGTGCATTGTAGGACTCTTTATGAAGGATTCTAGGATTATGCATTCCAGGATTTTTTATTTTTTATGCCCTAAAGGTTAAGGCACCAAGGGCCTCGAAGGCCCTAAACAGACCCCCACCCTACATCAGGAGAAAACACCGGAGTCTCTACTGGGAACCTGGTTACCGTGGGGGTGGACCAGGGATTGGAGGGGTAGTCCAGCTATGCTCCCACTTCTCAGCCTGAACCTGGTAGCTTCTCCCAGCCCCTCACAGCAGCAACCACTTCCATGTCCAGGCCTCTGATGAGCCTGTACCCCTCCCCGCCGCCACCTCTCCTCTTGCCCCCATCCTACCCATATTTCAAGCTCAGACTTACAATTCTAGATCCGTCTCGCCCTCTTCTGATTCCCACAGCACAAACCACGAGACGACTTCACTGACGCACACACATGAAGTGTTTGCTGATCGTATCTTGCTAATAAGGCAAACGTCTTTCATGAGATCTTTTGACAGAGGGGTTATAGTTCCTAAAATGAGCTGAGACCAAATACTGGCTGTGCCATTCACTGGATGTGGCTCTGGGTATGATTTTCTCTCCACTCAGCCTATGGGTTAGCCTGGTGATGGGTATTAAAGAGGGCACATTCTGCATGGAGCACTGGGTGTTATGAACAAACAATGAATCATGGAACACTACACCAAAACAAATGATGTAATATATGGTGATTAACATAACAATAAAAAATTTAAAAAAATTACTTGAAAAAAAAATAGTGATGCAGTCCCGTTAGGTTGTCACAAGGATGGAATGAGATAATGTATGAAAAGAAACTAACAGATGGTAGCCACCCACCTGAGTGATCTTTTTTTTTTTTAAGGCTTTATTTATTTATTTGAGAGAAAGAGCAGAGGGAGAGAGAGAAGCAGACTCGCACTAAGCACAGAGCCTGACTCGGGGCTTGATCCCACGACCCCGAGATCATGACCTGAGCCGAAATCAAGAGTCGGAGGCTTAACCAACTGAGCCACCCAGGTGCTGAGTAATCAAACACAGTTTGACCACATCATCCCTGTGTTCCAGAATCTTCCATTGGCTTCCCATCATACTCAGAATAAAATCCACAGTGGCCCACGAGACCCTACCGTTGTTCCCTTCTTCTGCTACACCAGTGACTAGTCTTCCTCTTGTCACTCCAACCCCTCACACCGGCCTTGCTGTGTCTCAGACACCCCCAGCACAGTCCCACCCCAAGGCCTCTGAATGAGCGATCAGCTCACTGGGAAGTCCTCTTCCCCCAAACCCCCCTGCATCCTGGTTCCCTCTGTCGGGTGTTTGTCCAAAAGTTACTTCCACAGGAAACAAGTAATAAAAGCACTTGTTAATTTCATTTAAAAAAAAACTCAGGATATACTAGAAAGAAAATATAACCCAAGGTGAACAATATTTATAATCATGTCATATTCATTCTGAACATTAACTAAAAATTTGATATAACCATAATAATTAGGAGGGCAGTAAAAATAGCTAAATATTCATTCCTAAGTAGGAAGTCACTTGCTAACATCTAAAATGAAAAATAGGGGCACCTGGGTGGCTCAGTCAGTTAAGCATCCGACTCTTGATTTCAGCTCAGGTCATGATCTCAGGGTCCTGAGATCAAGCTCCATGCTCAGCAGGGAGACTGCTTGGCGTTCTCTCCTTCTCCTCCTCCCTCTGCCCCTCCCCCCTGCTCGCACGCACACACTTGCATGCATGCGCTCTCTCTCAAATAATGAATGAATGAATGAATGAATGAATAATAAAACAGCAGCAGAGGCATGTTCCTTATCGATAAGAAGTAAACTCTAGAAGAAACAGAAAAAATTGTAAGCCATGACTTCTACAGAGCTGAAGTCAGAGTCTACCAGGCATGGGTTTCGTTCTAAGCCTTCTGGCCCTATTAGAGTTTGCAAACTCTGTGCATGTATTACACAAACAGAAAGAAGCTACAATTTCAGTGGCTCAAGAGCACAGAAGAGGACACGGCTAACTGGCTGGCCAGGTAGGAACTCGGGAAGAGAATGCCCATGAAGCAAGGACGATAAGGAAGAGCATTTTCCTGGATGGGGCAGGGGGTGGAGAAGACCATCTCGGAAAGGAGCAATGTTTGCAGAGACACGGATGCATGGGGAAAGGGAGTGTGTGAGCCATGGTGCACGAGTGGGCGCCTCAGGAAGTGATGTGACGATGAGTCTCTGAAGGTGGGTTGGCCAAGATCATTACCAGCCCACGGTATCACTAAGAAGTTGAACCGTGGACCAGGGTTTACAGTCTACAGGTTGCAGAATGCATTTATGGGGTCTCAGACAGCATTTTTTTTTTAATTGAAGTATAACTGACATGTGACAATATTCCTATCAGGTGTATGACATCATAATTCGGTGTTTGTATATATTGTGAAACGGTCACCATAGTAAGTCTAGTTAATATCCATCACCACACACAGTTACAGATTTCTGTGTGTGTGATGAGAACTTTTATGGTTTCCTCTCTTTTCAAATCCACGGCACAGTATCGTTAGCTACAGTCACCCTGCTATCCAGACATCCCCAAGGACTTACTTCTCTTATAACAGGAAGTTGTTCCTTTTGAGCCCCTCTGCACATCTTGCCCTCCCTACCCCCCTCCCTACCCCCCTCCCCACCCCCTCCCCACCCCCCTCCCCACCCCCGCCCTCCATCACCCCACTTGGTGAAGTGGAATGGATCAGCCTGTACCAAGTGTGATGAGGGCGTTACTGCTTTGTGGACCCAAGGACCCCTGGAGTATCCTTAAACCCTCTGCGTTCACAGAACTCTGGTATTTCATGACCACTTGCCTGTTTTCTCATCATTTTCAAACTTAGTAAATCTGTAGTTAATGCATAAAGAACACCTGTAAATCAGAGGCTGGTAGTAAGTCTCTGCACGTTTTGAGTCTCTGCTTTGGCAGTTTTATTTCACTTTTATAGCTAAACTGAAATAAATCCAGTGTAACTTTTCCTGCCTTAGGGGAGGAATGGTTTTGTTTGTAATTTCATGGCCTTTTCTGCCCCCTACAAAGTTACTTAGAATTTTCTCTTTGTTCCCTATGTATTTTTTACAGTGAACTCATTTTTTTATTATACAAATAACATATAATGACATTTTCATTATTAAAAATTATCCATCCGGCCCCTGGGTGGCTCAGTCGGTTAAGCGTGTCTTAGTTTCGGCTCAAGGTCATGAGCTCGGGGTCCTGGGATCAAGCCCTGCATCGTGCTCAACGTAGAGTCCCTAGCATTTGACTTTTAATATTAGCAAGTAACATAAAAAACAGATTCTGTAATACTTTGGAAAATTCTAGAGTTTCCAAGTTGAATGGACTTCTTTCCGACAGGACTTCTTAAGGCCTATGTTATGTGATTAAGCCTGGTACTAAAAGTAATAGGGATAGCACAAGAAAATAAAACCTCAGATGAATCTAACTTATGAACAGTGGTGTAAGACACCTGTATAAAATACTAGTAAGTCAGATTTACCTATGCCACCAACTGGCGAGTTTTCCCTATATGAG